CCTTTCAGTTGGCTTATATCCTAAACCTAAATCATTCTTCAAGGCCTTACCCAAGTTCGAAAAAGAAGACTTTATTGACCACTCCATTCTCAGCTTTCTTGAAATTCCTGTAATTTATTCAGTTGCATTTTTTACCTCAGTAGTAAAGATATTGCATTTTCTGTGCTTAAATTTAACATGCTTTACTTGATATCGTGAGCACTTCTAGGCAATTGTAAAGTCATACCACTCGATAAATTCAGAGTGCTCAATAAAACATTATCAGCATTCGACCACTGTGTTTTAAAATCTTAGTTGTTAGAGTGCACTTCAGTTTGGGCATTCTTGAGGGAGGCAGGGACAAATGTTCTAATAACTCATCCATATGATACTTCAAACTGGAAAAACACACAAATAGTCTTAACTCTATATGCGTGTTTTTATGCAAACTAAATCATAAAGATACAAACGATTCTTCTAATAGCTTTCATTACCATACAACGACTTTTAGAAATAATGATATTCATACAGCCACGAAAGAGTAATATAACCAAGTTCTCACAACTAAAATATCTTTGAGGTGGGCAAAATGCAAACTTTTCTCTGGGATCAACATTTCTTCACAACTCACTGCAACTACACCTTGAGAGTATGTTTCGAGAACCGCTTCCCAATTATGTTGTCCCAGAATCGGGAGGAAACCGGGTGAAAGGCTGCGAGGCTTGAGGCGGGTCCCAGACAGGCGCGGCCCTGCCCCACGCCAGAACCTCTCCAGAGTGCGACACCGCCGCTGGAGAGAGGAGGCTGAGGCGGAACTTCCAGTCTAACCCCGCCCGGCTGTCGTCCCAGCCTGTTGCTTAGGCCGCGCGGTCTGCGTTGTGCGCGGCCCCGGCCTAGCAACGACTCGTAACTGCCTGTAGCTCCTCCCTCTGGTGTTGCCGGGGAAAGCGCTCCGTCTGGTCCGTGCTATCCGGCCCGGTGCGTGGCTCGGGCACGGGGAGCTGGAGACGCGTGGAGCCGTTCGAGGACTCGCGGGTGTGCAGGTCTGAGTACCACTCCGATCCTGGTGCAAGTCTCCGCCTCTCTGGAGACCAGTGGTCACAGCCCCAGAGAGTGCGGCCGCGGGGAAAGTGGACATTCTTTGTCAAGGACCCTAGCGGAGGTCAGCGCTGGGTGTCGCCTGTGAGGGGGATCCTCGGTCCTGCGCGGTAGTCTCTTGCTTTTAGGATCTTGCGGGCCCTTTGAGAAAGGTTTCCAAATTTTCCTCCAAAAAAAAAAAAAAAAATTGTTTTCCTACCAATGATTTTCGGTGTATTCCCGCCCCAACGAAAAATATGTCCTGGCAAAGTCAGTTCTAGGAACCCCATACTTTATTTTATTTTTATTTTATTTAGTATTTGGAGTGGTTTGTGGGGGTTTGGTTATACGGAAGGGGAAGCGTAGTACAGACGTAGAATTAGCGATGCCATGCAGTGTAGTTAAAATATTGAGGTTGTGGTTACATAATAAGCAAAAGAGCCTTTTCTTACATCTAAATTGTTATTGGGAATGTAGGACAAATAAGGAAGATATGTCTAACATTTTCGGTCACCAGGTCCACAAAGTTGGATGGTAAAATCGATACTTTAGATCGCAGCATTTAAGGACTAACCCAATGCTGCAGCGAAGGCAAGGCAGTCTGCTACCATATGGCGGGTGGTGTGGGAGGGCCATTGATCCTGTATAAAAAGAGTACTACCTTGGATTGTAGCCAAAAATGAATGTTGGACACCTGTAGGTCTGTGATAAGTTCTTAAAAATACTCTAGACTAAAGAAAAATTGTGTTTTTTTCTAATACTGAATTGGTCCGCAATATAGGACAGGGGAGTCTATATAATGTTCCATTTGGGAGAGTGAGTCAGCTTACAATAATGGAAGAATTAAGCTTTTCTGTTATTATTTTGGAAAAAAAAAAAATTGCCAGCCTGCCACTTGTGCTAGGCTGCAGATGGCCCATAAAGATAGTTTGTCAGATACTTCAGTAGTGAGATGCTTCCTGGATGTGTTTTGCAGATGGTTTGATTTAGTTAACTAGTGTTTGTTGAGTGCCTCTGTTGCATAAGAATCAGTAATAAGGTGACATAGGTGGGGTCAGGAAGGAATCTGCTCTTACAGAGTTGAATGGTAGAGGATAGATTCGTAAAGTACCTCCCACAATAAATGCATTTTTCCATGTCAAATATGTGGAACCAATAATAGAAATCTCAAAGATAAAGAGATTTAAAGACATTGCTGTGACCCATCTATGGGTGGTAAGGAACTGAATTAGAGGCCTGACTTTGAGGTGAAGATAGAGGATTACGTACAAGGTAGAATTGATGCAACTTGGTGAGTATAATTAATTTGGGGTGGAAATTGAGTAGAAGGAGGAATAAAAAATTAATGTATTTTTAGCCTTAAGTTCCAGAATGATGGGCCACTTTCCATCAAGGTGTTAAAATTGTTACTTGTAGGAATAGTCTTTATGTTTTCTAAGTATTTCTAGCCCCCATGACTCAAATTGTATTTCCTTGCACATATTTGATGTTAGCAAGTATATTTTAAAGATTTTAAATAACCCCATTTGCAACAAGGTCCTACTCACAGTCGAGACAGGTTGTTGGCTGAGTTAGGACAGATACCTGATCATGTAGTTTCGAGACCATTGGAGGAAGCTGCCCTGGTTACGATTGCTGGCCTCTTCTGCGTATGGCCACCTCAGCCGTAAGTGAGAGAATGTAGGTGAACTAGGAGGTGGAATATAAGCATTTCTCTTTACTGTCTTACAGGTATTTGTGGTGGTTAATTTTTGTAGAGAGGTTATTTATATAGGTTTCACTAATATCCATTTAGTTATGTGGATAGCAGGTCTGTGAACTGCAAAGTGTTATTTCTGAGATATCTCTAGGAGGAATGCATGTCAAGGGTCCTAGGATAACTCCAAAAACTACCAGTAGTTTTTCTGTTAAATGTCAGGCAACCACAGTAGCTTTCATGACATCCACAGGGACTGCATTTTCAATCCCACTATGCCTGGTCCTTTGAGTGGCACATGCAGTCCTGCTAAATAGCTACTGGAATACCCAGGAAAATGAAGTCAGATTAAGCTAGTCCAATCAAATTTCATTTTTAGGATGAATCATCATCTGAATAACTCAAAGTATTAAAGCCTCAAAATGTTTCTCTGTAGAACCTCAGGCACACATAGGACAAACCCAAAGAGTTTAGGTGAAACTTGCTTCTTATGTGCAGCAAAGAGATGCCAACAGAGCATTTACCGCTCTCATTTCTGGGGACTATTAGGATCTCTTCCCAAACTTTTTTTTTCTCTGTTTTAGAGATGGGATCTCACTTTGTTGTCAGACTACTCAAGCTCCTGTGCTCAAGTAATCCTCCTTAACTGCCTCCCAAATGCTAGTATTAAAGGCATGAGCCACCAAGCCCGGCCCTTCCCAAGCTTGGAACTTGCTGCCTGGGTGACTCTGGAGAGCTCAAACCTCCTGAAATTGTGTGCAAAATATTGTGTCTGTATATTCATCTAGGGATGAGGTTTATGATTTTCATGTGATTCTGAAGAATCACGAGGAGTTCAAGAAAAGAGGGCATCTTAATATCCTGCACTTTTAGTCATTTAGGGCATAGTCACAAAGATCAAAGCCATTTTTAGGCAGGTGATTTGGAGTGGCAGGAAATGGTAAGATTTTCTATTTGTGTTAGGAAGAAGGGTTTGGACCATTGTTCTTAAAAATACTAACTCTTACCCAAAATGTAAATCTGTGCCTAATCAATACACAGCAAAATATTTACTGTATTTTTAGTTTCCCCTTGGGTACATTGGGCTAGTACCTTTTTCTACTATAACCGGCATCTTTGCATCTCCTTATTTGGATCTCAAGCTCACTGGGATTTACAATTAAAAAAAAAAAAATTTCCTTTGATGAGTAATTAAATTAGTGCCACTAACTTCTCAGCAAATTATGTTGTATTTTATGTTCCTCTGGACTTTTGTTCCTTTCTATATGGGAGACCACAAAACGTGTCCTGCTTGAGTCACAGCATTCCTCTTGTCACTGTTTCTACTTAAAGTGCCTGGAGCTTCGTAGTTAAACCACAATGCCAGAAGGCTTTATAATAAGAGAATTATTTTATAGCTGTCAGAATGCATATCAAATCAATAGGGCACAGTGTTGTTTCTCACTTGAAAGATATCTTCCTTACACAGGAGTATGCAGATAACAATTTTGTGGCCATTCCCTTCTTTGAAGAAAATATTAAGTGGGAAGTTGTTTTGCTGTTTTTCTCTGATTCTAAAGAATCAGAATGATGTATATTTTAAAAGCATAAATTCTTAGAGTAAGTGGACATTAATGTTACTCTGTAAATTTTTAAGATTTATGAATAATATATTTTTACCTTATGGAATATTTATAAATTATAATGAGTAGTAGATGCCTCTTATTTTTTATTGGATATTTAGTTGTATATGTATGTACACTTGTACACACACACATGTAGTGCCTTGTTTTAAAGACAGAGAGAGGAGCTATATCTTTTTAGAAACATAACCAACTAAATTTGCGATCCCACTAGAATCTTCTATTTTCATTAATGTCTTGATTTCAAAGTCAGAGCCAACAGGTTAAGTATTCCTGTCATGATACTAACATGAAACCATTGCATTCCTAATATCTGAGAAAACAAATTGCCATCTGTGGAACAAAAAAAAGCGTTCTTGAAAAATGGATTCTCAGTACCTGAACTTTGTTGAAATACCTTTGAGTTGTGCTTTTAATCTTATGTTTTTAAAGTATGCCAATTTGGTGGTTTTAAAACATGTTTAATAAAAAATACTAAAACAGCACACAATTGTGACTTAAGTTGAATAATTTTCTTTGTAGACTGAGTAAAATGTTTCTGTTTTATTTTGCCTTCTCTTGACACTTTTTTAATTTACCTAGTATGTGTTTTAAAAATAGCTGTTAAACTTTGGTTTGAATGAAGAATGTCTCTCAATTCACCTATATTTCTCAGCAGAAGTGAAGAAAATAATTCAAAGATTTGTGAAACAAAACAGTCACAAACTACTTCCCATAGCTGAAGATCCTTAAAACTTATGTTTAGCATCTCAAGAAGTTCTTCAAAAAAGCTCAGAAAAGTGGGAGATCAAAATGTCTCAAATGTGGTGGTTCCAGAATGTTCTACTGCTATACATGTTATGTTCCAGTTGAAAATGTACCTATTGAACAGATTCCACTTGTGAGTTAGTAAACTTCATTGTTTGAAAGTATGAAAATAGATTTTAAAAAACATCTCATGTATACCTACTCTAATTGATAAACTTAATAAATAATAACATTATTATTATAAATGTTATAAATAAATATACTAATGTTATTATTTATTAAGTTCCTGTCCCTGTGTCCTTCCCTTATTGGCTAGAGTTGGACATACAATCTAAACTGATTCAGTTAGCTAAGACTTAAACTTTTTCCAAATAGGAGTAAATGCCACGATTTGTAAAAGGAGGGTTAAAGGAGTGGTCTGTCGTTATAGTATAAGGCATTTCTGGTATGTTTGGGCATGTCAGGGCACAACAAGAGTGGGAGGGTTGCTTGCAGGCTAAGCAGTACAAGGAGCTTGGGCTTCTGAACAAAGAACAAGAACATCACACAAGTAAACCTTTTGAAGAAATTTGTCATTGCTAACATTATAGAAAGCGAAGTGTATTTATGAAAATTTAGTCCTGCAGACTACTAAACCTCTTTGGTGTTTTTAATGGAAACCCATTAATTTTTCATTAATGATTTTAATTTATTTACAACATAAGAAAAAAATGTGTGATATAAACATATGAATACTAAAAAATAAGTTTATAGACACCCTGAAGGGCTCAAAACTCATGTCTTTGGACTATTAACTGAGAAAAAGCTTACTATTCTAGTAGAATTAGAGTTGATTTTTACCTAGGATTTTGTTGCACTTATCTATACATGGGGCTGGAGTAGATTTCATTGACCAAATGAAAATAAAGTAAATTGAAAACTAAGACCAATTCCCTGGGCTGTGTGATTTTAGAGTGATTTTAAGCCTGATTTAAAGGTCATTGAATTGATTGCTTACCTTTATACTTTCAAGGTGTTTACCAAGACTACTTTTGTATAGGTAAAAGGTCTGTAGAACATCATGTCTACATAATCAAGAAAGAATTTATTATATATATATTAACTTGTCTAACAGTATCCAAGCTTGAGTAAATCAGAAATTCTTGTGTAGAATTTGACTACTGTTTATTAACACTTTAGAAGACTAAACTCTACACATGGACTCATTAGAACTTTCCAGTAAAACAAATGAGTTGTAGCTATATTACAAATATTTGTTTGGATGATTTTAAATTTCATTTAAATTTGAAGTAAGAAAAGTACTTTGACACTCATATTTTATTTGAATTTCAATTTAGCCTATATCATCTTGGCCAGTCCATGGTCTCCTCTGCGTCTAAAATCACATATATAGGCTAATGGAAAGTTTACTGGCCAAGAATAAGTAAGTGTGGAATTTTAAGCTTCGGTTTGCTCAGAAAAACCAAGAACTTGAGGGTAATAATTATTTTCAAGTTTCCCATTATCTTACAGGAATGTTACATTTTGAAGTATGGTTTTAGTATCATTAAAGGGTATTATATCTTACATTTCTCTCATAGCCACATAAAGAAGGGATTCCATTAAAAGTTTTATCCTAAGGTGTATTATATTAAAAAATGGGTTGCATATAATAATAATAAAAATCAGTAATGTAGTTACAGGGCTGATATTTTCATGAATATTTAATATTAGAGGAGTATTTTCCAAATCAGTGATCTAATATACACACCATTTAATAGAAGTGACTCAAGACATTAGTGGTGATCATCTCTAGATGGTCTGGACTGTGCAGAGTTTCCTAAAGTGTTTATATTTTAATGGCCTTGTATGAAAGTTGATACTTTAATATACATTAATGGTAATAACAACTCTGCAAAATGTTCTTTCTAATTTTATTTTATTTTGCTAACAAATCATTCAGCATTTGCTTTTAGATAGCCTACTTAGAAAGGGAGGATGACAATATAATGAGTAATTCCCTCCCAGTTTTAGTGCGAGAATGCATTGATAAATGTAGTCATATGTCTCCTAATGACAGGGTTATCTAGAAATGTGTCCTCAGGAAATGAGTCGTTAGGCAAATTCACTGTTGTCTGAACATCTTAGATGTACTTACACAACCTTCATAGTATAGCCTACTATACACGTGGGCTATACCTATTGCTCCTAGCCTACAAAATCTGTACAGCATGTTGCTGTACTGCATACTATGCGTAGTTGTACACACAATGGTATTAGTGTATCTAAACAAATATAAGCATAGAAACGTACAGTAGAAGTACAGTATAAAAATAGTAATCCTTTATGGACACTGAGCATGAATGGAGTTTGCAGAACTGGAAGTTGTTCTTGGTGAGTCAATGGTGAGGTTGTGAATTTGAATGTGAAGGCCTGTGATGTTACTGTACACTATTGTAGTTTTTATAAACACTGTATACTTAGGGTACACTACATTTATGAAAAATATTTTTCTTCAATAATAAGCTTACTGTGACTTTTTTACTTTATAAGCTTTTTTAAAAACTTGTGATAACACTTAACTTTAAACACAAACACATTGTACAGCTGAACAAAAATATTTTATTTCTTTATATTCTTATCCTATAACCTTTTTTTCTATTTTATTATTTATTTATTTTTTACTTTTTAAACTTTTTTTGTTGAAAACTAAGACACAAACATACATTACCCTAGACACAGTGTCAGGATCATCAATATCACTGTCTTCTTTCACCTCCACATCTTGTTCCACTGGAAGCTCTTCAGGGAGCAATGTGGAGCTGTCATCTCCTGTATTAACCAATGCCTTCTTCTGGAATACCTCCTTAAGGACCTGCTGTTAGAGGCTGTTTTACAGTTAACATTTCTTTTTCTAATTGGGGTGTTAACTCTAAAACTAAAAAAATTAAGTGTAGTATAGTAAATACATAAACCAGTAACAGATTTATATTATCATTATTAAGCATTATTGTATAGCATGTTTTTTTATGACTGGCAGTGCAGTAGGTTTGTTTACATCAGGATCATCACGAAGCATGAGTACTGCACTGTAATTTTAATGTTACAATGGTTACACTTCACTAGGCCATAGAATTCAGAGCCTAGAATTTAAAAGGCTCTCTTGAGGAAAGTTGATAATCCCATGAGGAAAATGCAGGTCTCCCTTGTCAGTAGCATTTTGATAAACTTGGGTGGAAAGATTTGTGGTAAGTCTCTTTTATAAAACATAGGTGTTAGAGAGCCGATTGATATTCTTTACTTGTTTGAAAACAGAATGCCTCTACTAGAACTGCCCTCTGGTAAACACTATTTTTTTTTTTAAACATAGTTAAGCTTTAATGTCCATATGAAGCCTCAGGCAATGTTTTGTGTAGCTTGTAAAAAAACAAAAATGTTTTTTTCTTTCTTTCTTTTTTTTTTTATTTTTATACTTTGAGTTCTTGGATACATGTGCAGAACTTGCAGGTTTGTTATATAGATATACACGTGCCATGGTGGTTTGCTGCACCCATCATCTACATTAGGTATTTCTTCTAATGCTATCCCTCCTGATCCCCCATTTCCAGACAGGCTCCAGTGTGTGATGTTCCCCTGCCTGTGTCCATGTGTTCTCATTGTTCAACTCCCACTTATGAATGAGAACATGCGTTGTTTTAGTTGTTTAATTTTCTCTGTTCCTGTGTGGTCAACACTATTATTGTTACTCTGTACTCTTTTCATTATTTAGAAATAATCTGTGTATGTGTGAACTAGGAGGAACACAAACATGGATTTCCATGATTTGATCTGTTTCTGTGCTTTGATTTTATGATGCGAGAGATGTCATGCTCATGGAGAACTAACAATACCCGGATTGTGTACAGGTTTTGCATAATTATATTATGCTTGCAGACTTTAGTTCATAAAGCTTTTTATTTTATCATATAATTTAAAAAATAGGCTAGGCACATGGTTTATAAAATTTGTCAATAACACTCTGTATTCTTGATATAAATGATACCCTCAAGATAGCTAGCTGGTCAGAAATATTATTCTTTTGGAATTTTCAACTTTACTCATCAGTCACATAGAAAGGTCACTTTTATGATCTGCTTTCTATTTCTTTTCTTGTCATGATCTGCTTTTTTTTCTTTTCTTATTTCCTACCTTTCCTGGAGTTAAGATAATGCTGACATGGTGCTCCAGGGACCGTAGGGAGAGGGCAAGTAGTGTCTCTGAGACTGAGCGTCATGAGGAAATTCTTTGATGTAGTGTTCAGCCGAAGTAGACTGATGTAAAATCATTTGTGAACTGCCTACTTAAATGGTAAATTTTCCGTAATTAGAAGTTGGTTTGATGATTAGAAGCAATTGGACCTAACTTATAAATGATCATTGGGCTTAACTTATAAATGATTACTAGGCCTAAGCAGGGAGGGTAGGAGATACAGTGTTTGAAACCTAGTTGAAAACTATTTGGGAGTATTTGTAGGCCAAGGTCCTCCTGGGGTGTGTTATTTATACCGTTCTGTCCCCAACATAATTGTCCAGGAAGAAAAAAATTTGAAATTGGAATTATTTAGTAGCTGCTCCATTCAAAAATAGTTTTGGAACTAATGACACACACACAACATGGAAGAACCTCAAAATATTCTTGGCCAGAAGTCAAATGAAGAGTGTACATTGTATAATTTCATTTATATAAAATTCTAGAAGTACAAACTATGCAGTGGCATTGGATTACTGATTGCCTGAGGAGGGCAGTGGTTGATGGTGAGAGAGGAAGGAAGAAGAGCATGAGAAGACTTGATAGTGGCAAATCATTATTTTGACTGTAGCAATGGATTCAAGGATTTAACATATGTTAAAACTTATTAGATTGTATACTTTAAATATGTACAGTTTAAGACATAAGAAAAATAGTTTATCTCAGGGTAAAATAGTGTGCCAGAGGTAAATTCTAGAATCTACTTGTTAGTATGGGATGGGAACTTGGAGATAGTGGGAACTACTAAATAAAACAAAGTCATTTAAAGCTGAAGTCAAGAACACATCTCCCAGAGGTTTCTTTTTTTTTTTTTTTTTTTTGAGACGGAGTCTGGCTCTGTATCACCAGGCTGGAGTCAGTGGCCGGATCTCTGCTCACCGCAAGCTCCTCCTCCCGGGTTCGCATTCTTCTGCCTCAGCCTCCCGGAGTAGCTGGGACTACAGGCGCCCGCCACCTCGCCCGGCTAGTTTTGTATTTTTAGTAGAGACGGGGTTTCACCGTGTTTCTTATATATAGTAAGGGAGATATGACCTAGCATTTTTTTCATAATCATGGCTGAATGCAGTGCTTGTATAAGCATTACAAAGAGAGCTAAACCAAAAAGCCAAAGTGAAATAAAGAAAAATATAGTTTAGAAATCCAAGAAGAGAATATTATTTTGCATAGAGACATGTTACAGACAACATCTATAACAAATAATGAAACTTTAAGGGAAATACTTAGGCAACAGGGGTCCCCAATCCCCAGACCATAGACCAGTACCAGTCCTAAGGAACCAGGCCACACACGAAGAGGTGAGCTGCTGGAGAGCAAGTGAAGTCTCCATCTGTGTTACAGTGCACTCCCCATCACTCACATTACCACCTGAGCTCTGCCTCCTGTCAGATCAGTGGCAGTATTGAGTCTCATAGGAGCATGAACCCTGTTGTGAACTGTGCATACAAAGGACCTAGACTGCACGCTGCTTATGAGAATCTAATGCCTGAAGATCTGTCACTGTCTCCCATCATCCCCAGATGGGGACCATCAAATTGCAGAGAAAAACAAGCTCAGGCTCCCACTGATTCTACATTATGGTAAGTTGTATAATTATTTCATTATATATTATCATGTAATAATAATAGAAATAAAGTGCACAATAAATTATGCGCTCAAATCATCCCAAACCTCTCCCTAACCTGGTCTATGGAAAAATTGTCTTTCACAAAAACTGATCCTTCTTGGTGCCAGAAAGAATGGGGACTATTTGAAACCAACATGATTTTGAAGGGAGTTTTGTGATATAAAGATTACACCTCTTAGACCTATTGTTACTATTTTTTATTTGATAATTATTTAATTTGTGCTGTTGAAAATGTGATGCTGAAAATCACGATGTTTCTACGAAGATAACAGTTTTGACTTGAAAGTATGTATAAGGAACAGAATTTCAACTTGAATTTTAGATCTGAAACTTTTTGCCCAAACTTACATTTCCTTTTAAAATAACATAAGAGGCCGGGTATGGTGGCTCACTCACCAATCTGAATGCTTGGGAGGCTGAGACAGGCAGATCACTTGAGGTCAGGAGTTCAAGACCAACCTGGCCAACATGGTGAAAACCTATCTCTACTAAAAAAATACAACAATTAGCTGGGCATGGTGGCAGGTGCCTGTAATGCCAGCTACTTCAGGAAACTGAAGGCAGAATTGCTTAACCCAGGGAGGCGGAGGTTGCAGTGAGCCGAGATCACACCACTGCACTCTAGCCTGGCGTGGCAAAGTGAGTCCATCTCAAGATAAATAAATAAAAATAAAATAAAATAGCATAAAATAGGCAAACCTAGAGTTTATGGGTTATAAAAAATGTCCTTGGCACATATAGTGAAATGCAAAGAATTGGAGTTAATATAACTTAAATGAAAATGACATTGGAGCTTTGCTTTAGGAGAAGATTCTATGTTAAATGAGTTGAAAATAGTTGTCCTAATACATGATTAACAATGCCAAGGAAGAAATTTGGGTTGGTTTTATATGAGCACCATTCTTAATATTCTGGTATATCTTTTAAACCGTATGTGTATTTATAAGATTTATTGTAAGCTTCCTATTGCTTTAAAGACCCTTTTTGTATAACATAAAAATTAGAATGTCTATATATTTTTATTTGTCCTTTTTTTTACCTTTAGCTTCCATTGAAGATTGACATCATTAAACATCCAAACGAAACAGATGGCAAAGTACTGTATACATACCAAAACTCTTAGCACCTGAATTTGCCAAAACATTTACCGTATCCTTGTATTCCAGAATATGAAGAAAGGACCATGAAGTAGGCAACTTAGTTTTTATGACTCTTCACATTTCAGTTATCCCTAAATGAATTTTAACCTCCATTGCCTTTCTGATCTGCCAAACATAATTTAATATTTTTCTTAATAAAGAATTATGCTTGGGATAGCATTAGACAATATACAGTTTATTTCATTGATATCTTCAAAGATCAGGTGATTCTAGACTGCTATGCGTTTTTGAGTCTGCATTTTATAGCTCTTCTGCCTTATTTCTTCAGGTTTTTACTCCTTGCCAATATTATTGTGCCTGCTTTTACTTTTTCTCTTCTCCTTCTCCTGTTTATGCTACATATAGATGATCTAATTTGATGCAAACTGGGCAAGCAGATTACAAATGTTGTTGGAATTTCTCTAAAGAAGAAAGACTGAGTTAGGATGTTCAGGGAATCCTCCTAAATTAAGAGCTTTGATGCATAGCCTTTATAACATTTCTTTCAGCTGCTCAGAGGCCTTCCTTGGTCATTTTTAGATTCTTAATTGGTTTTCACCCATTGGAATTTGTCACATTAGTGAGATATTATGGGTCTTCTTGGAGAAAAGTAATTTTACAATGTATAAAAATTAGGCAGCAGGTACTAAAGAAGCATGTAAAGCCTTTTGGTCTCTTGGAGGCCATTTGTTGGGTGTGGCTAATATAGAAACAAAATTAGAAATTAGTGCATTCATTTGTTCCAGGAAGAACTTGGTAAATTTTTACTTTTCTGTTTATATATCTTTTTGATTAGTTTATATAAAAAATTATGTTTGTAAATAATATTTGAGTTTGGGATCTAGGAAAATATTTCTTCTCTGGTCAGCTAGACTCCATTTAAGTTGATTAAATAGAATGTAGTGCTATGTTCTGTAAGGAGATGTGATATGTTTATAACCTAAGAAAATTCAGAAGCCCTGGACTTTGCTAACCGGATGTAGGGAGAAATATAGACATGTATGATGAATATTTAAAAACTTTGACAACTTTGAAATTTATAAAATTCAAGGTTTTTGCTTTTTAACAGAGTTTTGCTCTGTTGCCCAGGCTGGAATGCAGTGGCATGATCCCCAGCCTGCTGTATGTAAACTTCTGGGCCCAAGCAATCCCGTGCCTCAGGCTCGAGTAGCTGAGGCCATGGAAGTGGTCACACCACTACTCCCCAACTAATGTTTTTATTCTTTGTAGAGACAAGTCTCACTATGTTGCCCAGGCTGGGCTCAAACTGCTAGGGCTCAAGTGATCCTCTCACCTTGGCCTCCCAAAGTGCTGGGATTACAGGCACTGTGCCCGACCAAAACTTTTGTTATAATTTTATTTTATTATGATTTTGTTTTTATCCTTTTTATTTTAAAAATTTGTATGCTCGTTGAAGAAAATTTGGGAAATAAAGAAACATATGGGGATAAAATTCCCATGATTCTCAACATTTATTCATTTAACAAATATTTACTTGGTGCCTGCCTTGTGCCAGGAGCTGTTCAGACATTGGAAGCTCTAATAATATAAATCTCAGTAAAAATGTGCTGAAAGAAAAGAGGTATCATACTTATGTAATTTTTCCTGGAAAGTTACATTTTTTTCATTTTAATTTTTCACTGTAATAAATATACTTAGATGTTGTAAGTGTCTGTGTTTAGGTTTATTACATTCCCATAATGAAATAGTTGAACCAAAGAGGTATGAATAATTTTAAGACTCTTAGTTTAAATTGTCAAAATTGCTTCCATGAAGAGTTATGCTATTTAATCCTGCCCTCAAACCACCATTTCCTCACCAGCATTCACTGTATCATTTTGTTTTATCTTTGACATGATATAACAGATGCAAATGGCATTTAATCATTGAACAGTTTTCAGTGGTTCTTACAAGTACATGGTTTCATGTACTTGCTTTTTATCCTATGAAAAATTATATAATTCAATCTTTTTATTTCAAGTATGATTAACTTGGCATCTATCAGTCAGTGAATAACTTATTTTGAAATAATAGTTTTAATTAGTATATTATGATTATAAATTACTATGGAAACCAAAAACTTTACCATACATATTAAAGAACCATATACAATAGAACCAACCTAATGCTTGTTTCTCAGATATGCAACATGCTTTCTTAAAATTTTAAGTCAATCAAAATTTATATATTTTGAGATCATAGTGTAACACCTCTTCAACCCAGTTTCTTTGTTTTATTACTTTCGTTTTTCCTGGACCTCAGTCTATCTCAATAAAGATATTCTTTTCATTTAAGGATTCAAAATAATGTTAGAGCAAAAATGATGACCTGACCAGCCATCTTTTAAACGCAAAGAACTGAAGAACAACAGTTCTGTGATTTGAATAGCGGCAAGTGCAAGGCACACCACTGAAAAAAATTATATTTATAGATAATTACCTGGAACCAAACAAACAAAATATTCACTGATGGCGACTTCAAGGTAAAAAAAAAAAATGTTTTTTTGGACTGTTCCTCCCTCAGACTTGTTTTGAAAAAGCTTCAAACTTATAGATAATTTGAAAGAAGAGTTGCATTGAATACCTATACATTTGCCCGTTGACTTTATTTCTCTGTTCTCTTTATTATATATGTGAGTGTGTATTTATATATTATATATATTTTTGATTGATCAGTTAAGTTTCGGGCTTTGCCAACACTTTACCCTTAAATATTAAGTATACATTTTCCTTTTTTTGTTTGAGACAGTCCCAGTCTGTTGCCCAGGCTGGAGTGCAATGGTGCAACCTTGGCTCACTGCAACCCTCCTCCTCCTGGGTTCAAGTGATCCTCCCACCTCAGCCTTCCAAGTAGCTGAGATTACAGGTGCCCACCACCACACCTGCCTAAATTTTGTGTTTTTAGTAGAGACGGGGATTCGCCATTTTGGCCAGGCTTGTCTCAAACTCCTGACCTCAGGTGATCCTCCTGCCACAGCCTCCCAAACTGCTGGGATTACAGGCATGAGCTACCATGTCCAGCCTAAGTGTACATTTTCTAAGAATAAGAATATTCTCTTATATTAATAAAGAATGACATCTCTTTTATAAACACCCTAATGGTGAACACATTTCCTAAGGATTAGATCTTCTCTTTGGTTTTTTGTTTTTTTTTGCCTTATAGGTTTGTTGTTGTTGTTGTTTTTTCTGAGGAAAGTCTTGCTCTGTTGCTAGGCTGGCAGTGGCACAATCTTGGCTGGCTGCAACCTCCGCCTCCTGGGGTCAAGCCAGTCTCCTGCCTCCAGCCTCACTAGTAGCTGGGATTACAGGCACACCACCGCTCCTGGCAAAGTTTTTTTTATTTTCTTTTTCTTTTTTAAAAATTTATTTATTTTTATTATTATTATACTTTAAGTTCTAGGGTACATGTGCATAATGTGCAGGTTTGTTACATATGTATGCACTTGTACCATGTTGGTGTGGTGCACCCATCAGCTCGTCAGCACCCATCAACCTCGTCGTTTACATCAGGTATAACTCCCAATGCAATCCCTCCCTCCTCCCCTCTCCCCATGATAGGCGTTATTGTGATGTTTCCCCTTCCGAGTCCAAGTGATCTCATTGTTCAGTTCCCACCTATGGTGAGAACATGCGGTGTTTGGTTTTCTGTTCTTGCGATAGTTTGCTGAGAATGATGGTTTTCCGCTGCATCCATGTCCCTACAAAGGACACAAACTCATCCTTTTTTATGGCTGCATAGTATTCCATGGTAATGTATGTACCACATTTTCTTAATCAGTCATCACTGATGGACATTTGGGTTGATTCAAGTCTTTGCTATTGTGAATAATTTGCCAATAAACATCCGTGTGCATGTGTCTTTATAGCATGATTTATAATCCTTTGGGTATATGCCAGTAATGGGATGGCTGGGTCATATGTTACATCTAGTTCTAGATCCTTGAGGAATCGCCATACTGTTTTCCATAATGGTTAGACATAGTTTACATTCCCACCAGCAAGTGTAAAGTGTTCCTACTTCTCCACATCCTCTCAGCACCTGTTGTTTCCTGACTTTTTAATGATCGCCATTCTAACTGGTGTGAGATGAAAGTATCCTCATTAATGATTTGATTTGCATTTCTCATTAGCCAGTAATGATGAGCATTTTTCATGTGTCTGTTGGCTGTATGCATGTCTTCTTATGAGAAATGTATGTTCATATTCTTTACCCACTTTTGCAGAGGCTGTTTTGTTTTTTGTTGTAAAATTTGTTTGAATTCTTTAGCAGGTTCTAGATGACCCAGCCCTTTGTGAGATGAATAGATTGCAAAAATTTTCTCCCATTCTGTAGGTTGCCTGTTCACTCTGATGGTAGTTTCTTTTGCTGTGCAGAAGCTCTTTAGTTTAATTAGATCCCATTTGTCAATTTTGGCTTTTGTTGCCGTTGCTTTTGGTGTTTTTAGACATGAAGTCCTTGCCCATGCCTATGTCCTGAATGGTATTACCTAGGTTTTCTTCTAGGAGTTTTTATGGTATTAGATTATTTTAAGTCTCTAATCCATCTTGAATTAATTTTTCGTATAAGGAGGTAAGGAAGGATCCGTTTCAGCTTTCTACTTATAGCTGGCCAATTTTCCCGGCACCATTTATTAAATAGGGAATCCTTTCCCATTTCTTGTTTCTCAGGTTTGTCAAAGATCAGATGGCTGTAGATGTGTGGTATTATTTCTGAGGACTCTGTTCTGTTCCATTAGTCTATATCTCTGTTTTGGTACCAGTACCATGCTGTTTTGGTTACTGTAACCTTGTAGTACAGTTTGAAGTCAGGTAGTATGATGCCTCAGACTGTTTTTGACTTAGGATTGTCTTGGCAATCGGGCTCTTTAGTTCCATATGAACTTTAAAGCAGTTTTTCAGATTCTGTGAAGAAAAACTCATTGGTAAGCTTGAGGATGGCATTGAATCTATAAATTGCAGCCAGGCAGTATGGCCATTTTCACAATATTGATTCTTCCTATCCATGAGCATGGTATGTTCTTCCATTGTTTGTGTCCTCTTTTATTTCACTGAGCAGTGGTTTGTAGTTCTCCTTGAAGAGGTCCTTTACACCCCTTGTAAGCTGGATTCCTAGGTATTTTATTCTCTTTGAAGCAATTGTGAATGGAAGTTCATTCATGATTTGGCTCTCTGTTTGTCTGTTACTGGTGTATAAGAATGCTTGTGATTTTTGCACATTAATTTTGTATCCTGAGACTTTGCTGAAGTTGCTTATCAGCCTAAGGAGATTTTGGGCTGAGACAATGGGATTTTCTAAATATATACCATCATGTCGTCTACCCAAACAGGGACAATTTGACTTCTTCTTTCTAACTGAATCCTTGATTTCTTTCTCTTGCCTGATTGCCTAGCCAGAACTTACAACACTATGTTGAATAGGAGTGGTGAGAGAGGGCATCCTGTCTTATGCCAGTTTTCAAAGGGAATTTTTCCAGTTTTTGCCCATTTAGTATGATATTGGCTGTGGGTTTGTCATAAATAGCTCTTATTATTTTGAGATCGTTCCATCAATGCAATTTATTGAGAATTTTTAGCATGAAGGGCTGTTAGTTTTGTCAAAGGCCTTTTCTGCATCTATTGAGATAATCATGTAGTTCTTGTCTTTGGTTCTGTTTATATGCTGGATTACGTTTATTGATTTGTGTATGTTGTACCAGCCTTGCATCTCAGGGATGAAGCCCACTTGATCATGGTGGATAAGCTTTTTGATGTGCTGCTGGATCCGGTTTGCCAGTATTTTTTTGAGGATTTTTGCATCAATGTTCATCAGGGATATTGGTCAAAAATTCTCTTTTTTTGTTGTACTTCTGCCAGGCTTTGGTATCAGGATGATGTTGGCCTCATAAAATGAGTTAAGGAGGATTCCCTCTTTTTCTATTGATTGGAATAGTTTCAGAAGGAATGAATGGTACCAGCTCCTCATGTACCCTCTGGTAGAATTCAGCTGTGAATCCATCTGGTCAGGCTTTCTTTGGTTGATAGGCTGAAAATATTAATTATTGCCTCAATTTCAGAAACCTGCTATTGGTCTATTCAGAGATTCAGCTTCTTCCTGGTTTAGTCTTGGGAGAGTGTATAAGTGTCCAGGAAATTATCCATTTCTTCTAGATTTTCTAGTTTATTTGCGTAAAGGTGTTTATAGTATTCTCTGATGGTAGTTTGTATTTCTGTGGGGTCGTGGTGATATCCCCTTTATCATTTTTATTTAGCGTCTATTTGATTCTTCTCTCTTTTCTTCTTTATTAGTCTTGCTAGCAGTCTATCAATTTTGTTGATCTTTTCAAAAAACAACTCCTGGATTCATTGATTTTTGGAGGGTTTCTTGACAATCTCTGTCTCCTTCAGTTCTGCTCTGATCTTAGTTATTTCTTGCCTTCTGCTAGCTTTTGAATGTGTTTGCTCTTGCTTCTCTGTTCTTTTAATTGTGATGTTAGGAGTGTCAATTTTAGATCTTTCCCAGCTTTCTCTTGTGGGCATTTAGTGCTAACAAATTTCCCTCTACACACTGCTTTAAATGTGTCCCAGAGATTCTGGTATGTTGTATCTTTGTTCTCATTGGTTTCAAAAGAACATCTTTATTTCTGCCTTCATTTTGTTATGTGCCCAGTAGTCATTCAGGAGCAGGTTATTCAGTTTCCATGTAGTTGAGTGGTTTGGATTGAGTTTCTTAGTCTGATTCTAGTTTGATTGCACTGTGGTCTGAGAGACAGCTTGTTATAAATTCTGTTCTTGTACATTTGCTGAGGAGTGCTTTACCTCCAATTATGTGGTCAATTTTGGAATAAGTGTGATGTGGTGCTGAGAAGAATGTATATTCTGTTGATTTGGGGTGGAGAGTTCTGTAGATGTCTATTAGGTCTGCTTGCCGCAGAGATGAGTTCAATTCCTGGATATCCTTGTTAACTTTCTGTCTAGATTGATCTGGCCTAATGTTGACAGTGGGGTGTTGAAGTCTTCCATTATTGTATGGGAATCTAAGTCTCTTTGTAAGTCTCTAAGGACTTGCTTTATGAATCTGGGTGCTCCTGTATTGGGTGCATATATATTTGAGATGAATTAGCTCTTCCTGTTGGAGTGATCCTTTTACCATTATGTAATGGCCTTCTTTGTCTCTTTTGATCTTTGATGGTTTAAAATCTGTTTTATCAGGAACTAGTATTGCAACCCTGCTTTTTTTGTTCTCCATTTGTGAAAGATCTTCCTCCATCCTTTGTTTTGAGCCTATATATGTCTCTGCATGTGAGATGGGTCTCCTGAATACAGCAGACTGATGAGTCTTGACTCTTTATCCAGTTTGCCAGTCTGTGTCTTTTCATTGGAGCATTTAGTCCATTTACATAAGGTTAATATTGTTATGTGTGAACTTGATCCTGCCATTATGATATTAACTGGTTATTTGCTAGTTAGTTGATCAGTTCTTCCTAGCCTCGATGGTCTTTACATTTTGGCATGTTTTTGCAATGACTGGTACCAGTTGTTCCTTTCCATGTTTAGTGCTTCCTTCAGGGTCTCTCGTAAGGCAGGCCTAGTGGTGACAAAATCTCTAAGCATTTGCTTATCTGTAAAGGATTTTATTTCTCCTTCATATGAAACATAGTTTGTGGATATGAAATTCTGGGTTTAAAATTCTTTACTTTAAGAATGTTAAATATTGGTCCCCACTCTTCTGTGTAGAGTTTCTGCCGAGAGATCTGCTGTTGATCTGATGGGCTTCCTTTGTGGAGTAGCCACGACCTTTCTCTCTGGCTGCCCTTAAGATTTTTTTCCTTCATTTCAACTTTGTTAGATCTGGCAATTATATGTATCTTAGGTTACTCTTCTCGGGGAGTGTATCTTTGTGGCGTTCTCTGTATTTCCTGAATTTGAATGCTGGCCTGCCCTACTAGGTTGGGGAAGTTCTCTTGGATGATATCTTGAAGAGTGTTTTCCAACTTGTTTCCATTTTCCCCTACTTTCAGGCTTTTAATCAGACGTAGATTTGGTCTTTTTACATAATCCCATACTTGCAGGCTTTTACATAATCCCATACTTCTTGCAGGCTTTGTTCATTTCTTTTTCTTCAGATTTCTCTTCTCGCTTCATTTCATTCATTTGATCCCCAATTGTTGATACTCTTTCTTCCAGTTGATCAAGTCGGTTACTGAAGCTTGTGCATTTGTCACGTATTTCTCGTGTCATGGTTTTCATCTCTGTCAGTTCGTTTATGGCCTTCTCTGCATTAATTATTCTAGTTATCAATTCTTCTACTCTTTTTTCAAGATTTTTAGTTTCTTTGCGCTGGGTACGTAATTCCTCCTTTAGCTCTGAGAAGTTTGATGGACTGAAGACTTCTTCTCTCATGTCGTCAAAGTCATTCTCCGTCCAGCTTTGATCCGTTGCTGGCGATGAGCTGCGTTCCTTTGCAGGGGGAGATGCGCTCTTATTTTTTGAATTTCCAGCTTTTCTGCCCTACTTTTTCCCCATCTTTATGGTTTTATCTGCCTCTGGTCTTTGATGATGGTGATGTACTGATGGGATTTTCGTGTGGGTGTCCTTCCTGTTTGTTAGTTTTCCTTCTAACAGTCAGGATCGTCAGCTGTAGGTCTGTTGGAGATTGCTTGAGGTCCACTCCAGACCCTGTTTGCCTGGGTATCAGCAGCAGAGGCTACAGAAGACAGAATATTGCTGAACAGTGAGTGTACCTGTCTGATTCTTGCTTTGGAAGCTTCCTCTCAGGGGTGTACGCCACCGTGTGAGGTGTGGGGTGTCGGTCTGCCCCTAGTGGGGGATGTCTCCCAGTTAGGCTACTCAGGGGTCAGGGACCCACTTGAGCAGGCAGTCTGTCCGTTCTCAGATCTCAACCTCCGTGTTGGGAGGTCCACTGCTCTCTTCAAAGCTGTCAGAGTCGTCTGCATCTGCAGAGGTTTCTGCTGCCTTTTTGTTGTTGTTGTTGTTGTTGAACTGTGCCCTGTCCCCAGAGGTGGAGTCTACAGAGACAGGCAGGCCTACTTGAGCTGCTGTGAGCTCCACCCAGTTCGAGCTTCCCAGGGGCTTTGTTTACCTACTTAAGCCTCAGCAATGCCGGACGCCCCTCCCCCAGCCTCGCTGCTGCCTTGTGGTTAGATCACAGACTGCTGTGCTAGCAATGAGGGAGGCTCCGTGGGCTTGGGCGTGGGACCCTCCGGCCAGGTGTGGGATATAATCTCCTGGTGTGCCCGTTTACTAAGACCCTTGATAGAGCGCAGTATTGGGGTGGGAGTTGCCCGATTTTCCAGGTGTCGTGTGTCTCAGTTCCCCTGGCTAGGAAAAGGGGATTCCCTTCCCCCTTGCGCTTCCCAGGTGAGGGATGCCTCGCCCTGCTTCAGCTCTCGCTGGTGGGGCTGCAGCTGCTGACCAGCACCGATTGTCCAGCACTCCCTAGTGAGATGAACCCAGTACCTCAGTTGAAAATGCAGAAATCACCTGTCTTCTGTGTTGCTGGCTCTGGGAGCTGGAGACTGGAGCTGTTCCTATTTGGCCATCTTGCTCTGCCCCTTTTTTTAAATTTTCATAGAGATGATTTCACCATGTTGACCAGGCTGGTCTCAAACTCCTGACCTTAGGTGATCCACCAGCCCCAGCCTCCCAAAGTGCTGGGATTACAGGCGTGAGCCACCATGCCCAGCCTGCCTTACAGTTTTTAAAAACTTTATTGAGGAATAATTAACATATAATAAACTACATATGTTTCAAGAGTATTAAAGTTTTCTCATATGTGTACAGCTGTGAGACCATCACTACCAGTTAGAAAATGAACCTATCCACCCCCTGCCAAAGTTTCTGCCTGACCTTTCATGATCTTTCTCATCCAGCTTTCCCCACAGCACACTTCCACACTCTCCAAACCCATCTCTAATCAATGATC